TAAACCAACTAAGCTACCGAGTCTGTTGAGTTTTGGAACTGTCAGTTTTCCCTTCAATCTTTGGTAAAAATGAAATGTTTTTGGTAGAGCTTTGAACGTGTTGAATGATGTTTTGAATGTAAGTAGAGCCACTGGTTTGAGTCCCGTTCGCTCTAAGTTTTAATTTTTTCAGAAAAATTATAACATTAGCAAACGGCGTTACAACTTTAAATATTCCGACCGAGAAAAAGAGGGTAAGAGCATGTTTTACATTTTCTGTTTTATATCTTCCACCTTCTTCATAAACATTGATGCAAACAACCAAAGTACTATTTGCGTATACAAGCAAGTACGTGCATAGCTTATTATGTGCCCAACTTGTCACGAACTGTGTCGATGGTATAGCTATTGAGGCACCTGAGTTGATGTTATCCATAGAAATATTCTTGGTTAAACATCCAGTTAATTAATTTCTCTCTTCTTAGAACACTGTTTAAGAACAAGTGTCCCTCAATCCGTAAACTATAAGACAAGTTGAATCTAATTTTTTGTTGCTGTAATGTGTACTCATATTCCTTGCTTATACACTTCATAAAAATCAATGCCGGGAGTTTTTTCGACAAGGAAAATACATGCACACTGTGCATAGGTATTTAGATGTTTGAAATGAGTTTTAAACCCGTTACGCATTTATTTTATTTTTTAAAAAACGTTATAAATACTAATCCGTTAACCCATACTTCTCAAATCCATATAAGCGAGTTCAGTAAATTTCCATCAAAGGCAGGTGAGAAATCGTGTCAGAAACTTTCTTATCCAAACTGCTGAGAATATGCGTAGCAGCTTTAAAATCTGAATTCACATAAAATAGATGTGTCGTAGCAGCTTTTCTCTAGTCATAATGACAGGAAAGAATGTAACAGCTCTTCCCATACAGGGAAGAAGTGATGTGTTAAAATGCAAATTTTTAAATATGTGTATACCAGAATTAATGTGCTAACGCTTCCAGTTACACGAAGGGTTTGTTTGTTTCGAATATTTGGGCAAATTTAAATTAGGGCTATCAACGACAGCCATAAATAAATTTCAATTGATTTGTTAGGGGGAATGCAACTAGTCAGTAACATTCACCGTCAACTTTTGGGCTGCTGTACTCGAATAATGGGATTTGACTACTACTCTTATAATGCACCCATAACTCCTAAGCGCGTAGTGGAATTTTGTTTTTCATTAACAATAAGCAAACCATGGTCACTCGGATTCACAGTCCGGCACGCTAATACTAGGTCACGTCCGGCCCTACGTGAAGGGAAGAAATGGTGTAGCAGCCTTCTCATCACGTAGTTTGACTCAGATTTCAAAATGCACTAAAGTTACACTGTCGGAGCCGTTTAATAGACTTTCACTGGTCACTAAATGTTGTTAAAGAAGATTCTATTGAGGTTTGTGTATATTGCTATGAAGTTTTTCTAGGAACGTGAAATCTGCAATAATAATGAAGCAAACCAGTAGTGCTTATGTGTTCTCTTAGTATGTTATATATATATACCTTATTCTTTTTTAAAATGCTACGTTTTATTAACAGTATTGGTTAGAATGTTTAATAAATATATTTGTATTATTTTAAACGTTTTGAATTATTTTACACTCTTAGATTGGTATACGTACTTAGGACTAACTTAAATCTGTAAGATCGAGAGTACTCAAATGATGAAAAAATGCATTCTAATAATTTCAAGTAAGAACTTAAGAACAGCATATTAAGTTTGCTACCTTCATTACTGGTTTGACTATTAATTCTGATCTTTTTATGTAGCTTGGTTCGATTAGAAGATAATGTTGAATAAAGGAGAGAAATGATGTAGCAGCTTTTCCCAATCTAACGAAACGAAAAACAGTATAATAGCTTTTCCTAATCTAAGACGAAAAACAATATAACAGTTTTTCCTAATCTAACGAAACGAAAAACAGTATAACAGCTTTTCCTAATCTAACGAAACGAAAAACAGTATTACAGCTTTTCCTAATCTAAGACGAAAAACAATATGACAGTTTTTCCCAATCTAACGAAATGAAAACCAGTATAATAGCTTTTCCTAATCTAAGACGAAAAACAATATAACAGTTTTTCCTAATCTAACGAAACGAAAAACAGTATAACAGCTTTTCCTAATCTAAGACGAAAAACAATATAACAGTTTTTCCTTATCTAACGAAACGAAAAACAATATAACAGTTTTTCCTAATCTAACGAAACGAAAAACAGTATAACAGCTTTTCCTAATCTAACGAAACGAAAAACAATATAACAGTTTTTCCTAATCTAACGAAACGAAAAACAGTATAATAGCTTTTTTCCTCCCACACAAATGAGAAATGGAATAACCTGTATGAAAAACAAATTGTGTAATAGTCTTAGAAACAAAGTCCATCCGTAAAAGTATTTGTAGATCAGCATTTTTCAGTCTATGCAAGCAAAAAACCCTGTGGTTTTCTAAGCCATACAGCCGAGAAGTGACGTAGCACTTTTACTAACTCATAAGATGTTAGCTCAGCAAATTTATTTTCGGAATTATAAATTGGAAATTATTTAGTAATTTCTTAACCCATGCAATTTTGGAATCAGCTTTTTTCAACCTAAATAGGCAAGAAATGGTGTACCTCCTTTTCTCAACTCATACGAGCAGCGTTTGTCAATTCGCAGAGAAGATAGATGATGTAATAGCTTCCCAATTCAAACAAACGTGAAATTGTATATATAGTTTTTACAGCTTACACAAGAGAGAAAGGCTGGATTAACATTTTCTAACTTGTATACAGTGTGAAGTGTTAATAATTAATTTACATTTTCACTAACACAAGGTTCAACATTTCGCTGACGTTGTAAAGAAAATGTACGTGATGATGTTAATGTTAATCAACGAAATCTTGAACCTTGTGTTAGTGTTTGATTTTTAACCACGTCTCATTTTAGCTTCTTATTTTACTGGAACATCTTCACAACTTATCAATCATGTTGCGTTGTAACATCACTGAAATAATCAATAGGATAAGAGAGCTTTTAAAGCATATAATTTACTTTGAGAAGTTGAGAAGATATCCCGACTTTAACAAAGGCTTGAAATAAAACATACCTTCACATAATCAGCATGAAACATACGTTACAAGAATATGATACTATTAATAAAAATCATAACAATCGATATGCAAAACAAGCAATAGTGAAGCGGAAGATGAAACTCAGACAGCTCTCTAAACGTTTCTTCAGCAAGAAATCATGCAGTGTTTGGTTCTAAGTTATATTGTGTTGAGTCGAAAGTAGGCTCTACATTGTGTTTTATGTGGTAGAAAGTATATCCTGTGTTATGTTGTGTAAAGTAGAAAGTTGGTCTCACATCAGGTTGTGTGCAGTTCGTGTTTATATTAATTTATGTTGGGTCGAAGGTTAGTTCTACATTATGTCGTGTATAGTAAAAAGGTTGGTCCTACATGAGGTTGAGTGCAGTAGAAGATAGATCCTACATTGTAATGAACCTAAGAAAAGGTTGGTTCTACTTTATGTTGTGTACAGTAGAAGGCTGGATACATATCAGATTGTGTACAGTAGAAGGTTGGTTTTACATCAGGTTGGTGCTGTAGATGGTAGATCTTATATTTTATTGAACCTAATAGAGGTTGGTCGTACATTATGTCGTGTTGAGTCGAAAGTAGGTTCTAGATTGTGTTGTATGTAGTTGAAAGTATATACTACCTTATACTGTGTAGAGTATATTGTTCATCTTACACAGTCTCGTCGGCAGCGTGTGCACTATGGGGGAGACCACCCTCTTAATTAGGGGGCAGATTTTGTATAAGATAATCGAAATCAATTAACTTGTATTCAGTGCTATTAACGTCACTGTACATTGATTAATAAATCATAAGACAGCGCATTATTATGAAACATTCAAATGACATGTAGTTTTTAATTATTGGTATTATTAAGGCATTGGAAATATTTACGTCTCAACTACGTATTATTATTATTATGGTTAGCTTTAATTGTATATGCTAGTTTTTGATTTCTATTTGTAAAAATATTTCTACTAAAACAAATGGAAGACTTAAGTTTCAAAGCAGGTACAATGTATCTTATCTGCAAATAACATAATTCATGACATTTAACGGCGCACAATTTACTGTACAACCTATTGTATACTTCATAACGTTCGACATACTTTTACTCCACAAAATGTGGTGAAGGACCAGGGCTGGCGCCTTGGGGGTGCCTCGGGAGGTTTTGCCCATCCAACTTAGATCCTTGCCCCCCACTCCAGTTCCAGATTCCAAACTGATACAAAAGTCTATGATTTGCGATGAAATCACCTAAAGTAAACTTATTAAAAATTGAAATTTTTGCAAATTATTAGACGAGGAAACTTAGTGAAATACAAACATAAAGCTCTACTTACGGAAATTTCATTGTAGAACCAATTGGTTGAAGTTTGGAATAAGACTTCTGTTTGTAAGCAACGGGAAACAGTAACTAAAAGCACAGATTATGCGTTCTATCGCTTTCAACTTTTATTCTCTCAACTGAGCTAAAACATTACATATCGAAGGTAGTAATAGTAAGCTTTCCATACAGGTACTCCACCAAACTAAGGTCACTTGATAACTAAATGTGTTATCACGAAATCTCCACAAGCCTACGTCATGCCTGTTCAGTTTGTTACAGTAGTCTTTAGAGTGTTTGCATAACGGCCTTGAATTACAATATTATCACAAAGAAGTAAGAAAAGTAATCATTCTTTCTGATGATGTAACTAGATGAATGAATAAAAAGGTAATAACGGATTAATGTACTAATTGAAAATATGAATTTTTATTTTAGTTGTGATTGTAATTATATAACTTGTACAGATTCAGTTTGATGGAGACGTAATTAAGAGTGGCTCGGACCTCTAGCGATTGGATTAGAAAACAGTTCTTATTGTAATTTCTTCATATTGTACACGACATTCCTTCATTAAAGGCATATGACATGCAATGAAGTAAATTTAAGGCAGAATATTTCCTTCATTTAATAAGTATGACGAAGGATGTTGTGGTAGACTAGAGTACATGACATACATACTTCTACGTACATGTCTTTATTTACATAACTTTTGTCTTACAATAAATTGGAGTATGAACTCTCCATTCTTTGATTATTTTTCGTTAACATAGCCTAATCTACTAAGGATATTTCTACTTCACGCTACTTTCGTTATGTAACCCAACTTGTTAATGTACAAATGCTTGTTTAATTGTGAAGCGTAAAGTTTCAAAATGGGCTACCTGCTTAATTCTCTGCGCGGGTATTTGAATTTTAGCATAAGGAACCCTCAAGCTTACTCCAAACCTACCAGGGGACACCAAGGTCCAGACAATACTTTAAAAAAAAAATCAAAATAAGTCTTTAAATAAAAAAAATTTCGAAGAATGCTTAACTTCATGTACTATTATAATTAACATTAAAATAGTCTATTCCGAAAAATATTAATTTTGCAATTTAGTCATTAATAATTGTCAAAAACCGAAACATATCTATTCTTCCATATAGAGATTGAAATGCGTGGAGGTAATTAGTTCTTCACTCAAACATTGAGCAGATCGCAAACAACTTTTAAAAGTCTTTTCACAGACATTTACATTGGATTTCACAAAGATGTTTGTATAATGTAAACCTATAAGTAGCTTCTTCGTTAATTATCACGAACTACACTAAATAAACCCATTCTCACATAATCATTTCGAAAAAATGCATTATAAACTCTAGAACAGACTTGTCGATTGGCTCCATATCGATCCCATCTGTTTTCGAATACATTTTTAAAAACTATTTACGAAATAAACTGATTGTGTATTCACGACTTTTATAAGTTACAGGATCCATACACTACAAAACACGCACTAAAACACCAACAATACAGCAATTGGTCCCACTACTTAGTGTTGGAGGTTCCTGTGTATTTGGGTAATAAATGAATGATTTCACCCAATTTCTCTGATCACTTCTGTACACTGAACATTGTAAAGCATAAAATTACTCAATAGGTTGCAATATCTGGACACCCACCCATAAAGCAAAGTGCAAAAACATGTCGGTAATTTGAGAGTTAAGGTTAAAGGTTCAGTGTCAAATTTCTTTCTTTTTCATGGTGTATCTTGAGTCCCTTTGAGTGTGAACTTGAACAGTTTCTTTAGTGAAGTTGAATGAACTGAAATTACATTAATTTTCAATAAGAAGTGTTTAAAATGGTAAAGTGTTTCTTAGCCTTCCGGTTGTATATATTGTGAATTTGTATATGAAATCAGAACTTTCGCGCGAATGTTTACCATATTATATGGTAAACTATATTATATTTCACATATTCCAATACACAACATTATGAGCAGATGCTAAAGTTGTAGTACGCGTATTAAACTGTTACAATAAGAGGGAAATAAATTACCGAAGAGACTTCCCACAAAATGATAAATCAGATATATCATTTACGTTACATTATTTATTAATAGCCTTAACCTAGCTTTTCTAAACCGTCACGTGACTCCACGTTAGTCAGGTTTGCAAGCATATGTGTGTGTGTGTGTGTGAACGATTAACAAAGTATATGAGATTAAGTAATTTTAAGCTATTAATGCTGGAAACATTTTGGACATTCTATATCGGAAGACTGGAAATATTCCCGACATTCAAAGTACTAAAACTGGAAATATTCTTGACATTTTATGTGGTAAACTCATGACGAGTTGAATTAAACAAAATATTTGTAACAAAACGTACTAAAACTTCGATATAATTCAATGTTGCACGATATTAATCTTGTAATCTGTATCATATATTACCCACTGAGGATGTATTTACTTTCCCTCACTATGTATTAACCAACTAAAAGAAGTGTAGTAATTATTTGACAGAGTGACTGTTTCTTATTTGGCTATTTAAGGAAGTTAAATATATGTACACAATAACCTGCATTTAAAAATTACTTTAGTATACTTACTGTAATACAAACTGTATTGTCATAGGTGTAAAGTAGTTTAAATGTATTTGGTTAACTGTCTGTATCTGCAATAACCCATCACAATCTTAATACAAGTTGTGGTTAACTGCCTGTATCTGCAGCAACATGTCATTGCCTTAAGACATATAAAGTGTATTTAATCGTCAAATTCTGCATTACTCAGTTACTGCCTTAACACATATAAATTGTGGTTAACTCTCCATACCTGCACTAACTCATTACTACCTTAACATGTAAATTGCGATTCACCGTCTGTATCTGAAAGGAAGTATCACTGCCTTTAAGCCTGAAATAAATTTCAGACCACATTGTAACAAAGCAAAATATCATGTCATTTTTACATTTATAAATACATAAGAATAATTTGAAACGAAAAAAAAAGATTCGATAACGTCTTTCTACTCGATTGCGATATAAATATTTCATTGAAAGACTGGTAATTAGACTCACATACTTTAACTTACATCTATTTACAAAGACTTGTTTTTACCTGAACAGTTACACTAAATCTTGTTTTCATCACTTCCTGACTGTCGTCTTGTGACGTCATTTGTCTAACTCTTATTCACGAGATTCATATATCTTTACCAAATTACTTCTCAAAACCATAAAATCTACAAATCTACAAGTGTTCAATATGGCACAACAGTTCTGTTCTAACAATCTTTAAGCTCCATCTCAAATTTGAAAATGCAACTGCATAATGAGCCTTTATGGTATGTAGAAAACAGACTATGAATCTTTAACAGATATGAACAGAAGACAATCCGTTTGAAATGTGCACTGAATGTTTCATGGTTAGAAAACTTTGAAAGCAGCTTGATACTCTATACGTAGAATGTGCAAACGAAGAGAAATTCATAACAGCGATCAAATAACAAACTTTGATGAAAGAAAGTAGACTTTCTAAGGTGACTTGCACAAACGATAATACGGTAAGAAATATTTTGTGAAAAAAATAATTTTTAATTATTTTGTTTGTTTATCATTTAATTTATTGTAGAACAAACTGTTTAATCTTTGCTAGCCCTGTATTTAATGGACCTTTGCTCAATAGGAGATATGACTACTTTTTCCAAGCTTTGCAATCTTCTTTGTTTTTTATTCAAGTTATTTTCAGAAATCTGTAGACTTTCAGCACGTTATTTTTAGCTAATACACTTCATATATAATATTTGTTCTATCTGTTGGAGTTAATTCTCTTTCAGTCATCTGATTTTGAATCCGAAATGGACAAATTAAGAGAAACGTGGAAACCAAAATCTGTCGTTCACGTAAAAATATGACAAATTTTGGACTTTTGGGTTCTAATGCTTGGCCAGCTCTTGGCATTTAAACCCTTTTTTCAGGCTTTCATATTTGGATTATTATATTATGTTTCATTATGCAATTGGAATTTTCTCTGGACGATCAGGCATTGTAATAAATATAAACATGTTTTTTCATCTGATGTTTTCTTTCTTCATACGTCTATAATTGTCAACTATAACTCTAGGTTTTACACACTTCTCACGGTATTACCAGTTTAGATGGTCTCTCTATTTTCATTAATCTATTGAGTCTAAGTTTTTACGAAGCATACGTTATTAGTCTCCAACGTGCCCGTGGAAAGATGGAGCTATTGCTGATCATATGCTTATCAATGATTAACACTGACCATATGCTTGTTAATGATTGACACTGCTAGGAGTAATGGTGATGCAATACTAGGCTCAACATTTAAAATTTGATCTGATGTTAATCAGTCTAAACTTTGAGAGAGTGGAGCCTATTTCTGAGTTCAGATGAATTAAATTTTCTGGGTTTTATTGTTCAATGTGTACACTTTGGCTTATACTCTTAAAAGTTAATAGATAGTCAAGCTGGTATAAATTTTAAGCTCATTGTTGAAATTTATTCCTGCATTATTTCGTCTTTCAGTTGTTATCTAGTTGTTAGCTAGTATAAATTTTAAGCTCATTGTTGAAATTTATTCCTGCATTATATCGTCTTTCAGTTGTTATCTTATTTTTAATTCCATTATATTCTTTTACTGTATTCGTCAAATATTGTCTGTAATAATGAGTAAATTCTATTGTTGTATTTGGTATATTTTTATAGATAACTCATCTAACGACCAACTCTTCGGATTTACGTTTATTGCAGAAGCTTATATTGATTTTTATGTTCTTGGAACTTAAATTATGAAAGTTATTTTTAATCTTAAATGCATTTCCCTTTTTTCTGTTAATAAGAAGTGTCAGTAGTCTATTCTTATTTGAATGTGTTTTGGAAGATATCGTTTTTAGCTTTAAGATCAGTCTTTTTCATTATTATTTCCAGTTTCCAACCTGTCTCGCACTCGCATTTCCTCATTATTTAAGAAACTTGTGTCATTGAGATTTATTTCTTGTCCTACTATGTCACTGGTTACAATTTCTTTTTTATTTCTTGCAGATTTTTTGTAGACTTCTCTGCAGGATCAGGAAGATTTGAGCCGATTCTTTAAAAGAGAAAAGTTATTAGGAATATTTTCGTGGATTTGATTTGTCTATTAGTAGTTAAAAAATACAGTACTACTGCTTGGTTTCTACACAATTCCTTTCGTTGTAATAAGGATTTCAAGTCTTTGTAGTATGAAGTCATTCAATGAAACTGAATTTCTACTTCTGTATAGTTTATGGATACATGTGCTTCTAACAGATAAAGAAAGTTTCCGAAAAATATTAAAATACTTTCAATATCATTAGCATGCTTGGATGTCTTCCAATTGTATGAATTTTATAAATTGTATACAGATATGTCTATTAATTAATCTTTAAGGAAAAGCAAGGTTTCTTTTTTACGCCCCATTTTAAAGGCACTGGTTCAACAAAAGCTATAGTTCAGTAACATTATCTTCAGAAAAAATATCTAAAACTTTTAACAATGATATAACTGATAACTCTTTAATTTTGCACCTTTAAGCACGTATTTACGACATTGTTGACTTAATGTAGCCATAAATTGAAAGTCCAACTTTGCATTTTTCATGTTAAATGTTGAGAATAATTTATTACTCTCATTAATCGGATATTTGTAGTCACGTTCTTCCCGAATTTTACTTAAAGAGATAGCTTAAAATAAATGTTATTTTAAAGGTATAAAATTGGGCTACTATGATATGGCTATTATACAAAGATTAAGTACCCTTTTCTTTCTAATTAAAAACGAATAACTAAATACTTTCTGTTATTAAGCCCTAAGTAGTACAGATCAAAAATACTGTATTGGTAATTTGAGTTCATCCACTACTACTAGTGAATATATATATATACATGTATACGGTGTATTTTGAAACTTAATGTTCTTAAAACTTTTGATTTTTACCGAATAATTTTACTACATATAAGACTCTGAAAAACAAATATAGTTCAACCAGCGTCAACTTTGTTACAGCATTTATTCGAACAAATTCACTGAGCAGATTGCTGGGACTATACAATAACGCATTTTTTTTTTGTACACAGGACAACACATGGGTAAGTTTAAGCAAGGAATTGTCTGTATTCCTTACAATAAAAAGTAACAAATGTAACGATTTAACAAACTAACCTCAGCATAGATAACCTTTTCATACACCAACTAACCAAGACGAAGGTAAAGAAAATTCTAGACTAAAGTTCATCAATGTAAACAAAGTTTATGCGAATTAGCACCAATGACGTGATTAAACATCAACCAAATCGTTGTCATATTAAGGTGCTAATGAAGTTACTTTTCACATTGTTTTTGACAAAAATAGACTAGCCTTTAAGGACAATCAACCACTTTAGCAATTATTGAAATTTCTATGTCTGTTTATGTATGATCGACTGCACTTTTGTGTCCAGAGAACAAAAACGCAGTGACACGTGTTTGTATAATATATATTGTCAATACTGTTGCGACCGCAATGGGAAAATGTTCACAGAAACAGAAGTACAAAAATTCTACCTGTGACAGTTATGCCTTGCCATTTTTGCTATAATTTTTATTACCGAACATTGTCCTCATTCCTCAAATCCTGTAGTTAGTCTGTACAGTCCAGATAACAGAAAGAGTTATAAAATATAACATGCTTTTATCACAATGATTCAGGACAAATAAAGTTAATCACTTGTACAAAGTCTACGAAGAAAAGGTGAGTCGAATATTCCTTATGAAACAAACTACAAGTGTTTGTTTCCGAGTTTCAAGGACACAGAAAAGTTCTTGCCGCAATAGAAAAGACATTGTCTAACTAACCAGATGGTATCCTATATTGTTATATAGTACAATATATATACATACATGTTTTATATATATAATTTCCAAAATTCCAGTAAGACTCGTAATTCAATAAAACCACACATTCACATATAAATAGTCTGCTAACATCTACTATATCAAACGGGAGCCTACATGAGATCCATTGACCGAGTTACCTGTGTCTTGTGCTCGCGGACAAAACAATTTAGTACATATTAACCAGATTTCATATAAGAATTCTTCGTGTAGCAATACAATATTTAAATCGTAGTCGCTGCAAAACTTCAGTGGTAATCTGTTAAGTAGAATATTTAAATAAGTAAGCTCCAGAGGTCTTACACACTTAAAGCTGCAAAACTTCCTGATGCTAGATATCACTAGATATTTCAGCTATTACTATGAGGATTAAAGTTTCACGTGCAACTTGAAAAATACAAATTCTGTAAAAGCTAACAAACATCAATCTGCATAAATAAACACTGCAATTTATATCAAAGAAAGCAAATATTTCACGGACATACGTTTGCTACAAATACAATATACATTATCGATACATATATATATATATACACACATAAATACGAAAAGACAAATAAGAAATTATACAACCTATGATGTACGAGATACCTATGCTATAAGGTATCCAAACAACAAGATTAAACACAGTGTACAAGGCCTCAGATGGAGGTTGTTCACTAAAGTATATAGAAACACAGAGTTCTGAAGGTATAGCAAGTGTTCTAAACGGGAATTGGTGTTCTTCTGAAGGAAAGGGTAAGGCATCTTTGTCTTTAGCTAAAATCAGAAAACTATCAGTATTTACAGACATTGCCAATCACAGCTCTTATTGTTTATGACATGTGATACTGCACTGATAGTCAAATGACCATACAATTTCCAGAATATAAAAAAGTACATAATAGAAACGTTGAAACAAGGTTAGGTACTGACTTCATATCATCAACACCTGTAATTGTGAACGAATAAATAACTAGGAAATCTTTGACGAGAATAATAATGATACTACTGATAACACATCACAGACATATATAACAGTATTTATAAAACAAACACTATTACCTTCATGACAACGTGCTTTCAGGTCTAATTTATTCATGACACGTGTACATACATTAGAACAAGTGCTGGAGAGTAAATTATTTACAGACATGATCTGAAGAAAAACCTAAATAGTGAATTGGCGTAATATTACAGTCTGTATGGGTCTTTACATGCAACAACTTCGTCTCGAAATCATGATAAATTTCATTTCAGTAAACAAGAACTGAACAGTACTATGCAAAACTATTCTTTAACTGAATGCTTGAATAGTGACTTAGCTCAACAAATTCTCGAAGGCCCCGTATAATTTTAAGAATTGAAAATCAGTTTGAATTTCGATAATTTGCTTCTGTAGTTTAAATACTTGTTTGATTTACAAAGATATGACCTCTTGAATTAATTTACAAGGATATAGTCTGTTTTAATTAATGTTCATGTATTTTCTTCTATTGCTCTGACTTATCAGAACTACACAGTTATCTAATCACTAGTTATAAAACCTCATTTTTAACACCACTTTTTTTCTCTTAAAATCCACACCAATTCTGTTCAGCTACCAGAAACATTTGATAATAACTGCTGTAAATACGTATAGGTAAAGACTTTTGACCACTGTAAAACGTAGATTAGATATCTTTGTTACCTTTCATCAAAGACAAACACGTTGTCAGTGAATTATTTTAAATTCATATAAAGTAAACAATTAAATATATATAAATTAGCAATTTGATAAATATTACAGTATTACAAGACCGACAAGAAGGTCACGTGTAAAAAATGTGTGATTTCTAGACTATTTCAAAGAGTATATTTGTTTCAGCTTTTAATAACGTGCTTGTTTTATGTAATTTTATAATAAATAAAACATACTAAGAATGAATAATGGCTGGAGACGGCTTGAATGGGGTAATGATAAAAACTTAAAATAAAGTTTAACTAATAACAGACAAATAG